GGAGAGACATAAAACCTAACCTGTCAAGCCAGATTGATAATGTGCAACAATCAGGTTTAGTTTTACACATAATAATTCTGGGACTACTCTCATTGGATCTGTACAGGGGGAGAGGAGGGCAACATTTCGAGTTGTTGGGGCAAAGACACCTAGTGCCCACCCACCAATGTTTGATTTTAGCCACTGATGGTAATAAATAAACACGAGCAGACACCATGAAAAACAACAACATCTTCTATTTTTATGCTCTTCCTGTTCTTCGTTTAAAGGTGATATCATGGATTCTAACATCACCGATATGATAGCAACAGCTAAACGTATGTCATGTTAATTTTGGTTCGGCTATGGCTTCGGCAGTCTTGCTTTACAAGTCACAGCTAGAGGTCCGGTCTTAAACCATAATACTGCAATCTGATGGAAAGACCCATTTTGAGCTTGACTAAAATGATTAAAGCTGGAATGGGTTCTCATTTGATTTTGAAGTCAGACATACTGTGACAATTCAGCTTGAAGACAAGGCAACATAAAATTATACATAGTGAAATTATAAAACATAAAAGATCCTGATCAGCTTCTTTTTTCTTTAAGAAAATAAGGTATTTAAAAGTAGCTTTTATTTACAACAATGCAAATTCGTAGATATATGCTATATCTAAATATATCAAAACAAAAATTATAAAATAGAGTTTGCAAGTGATATAAATATCATGCAAGATATAGATGAATCCTTAGAAGTAAACAAAGGGAAAACTCTTTGCTGAATGAAAGGCCTAGACTTGTGGGATGTTTGGACAGGATTTGATTAAAGAAAACTGAAACCTGAGATACATTAAGAAAATATGAAGTAGTTTCCCCCATGGCAAGGATAAAATTAGCTAACAAAAACCTTGTTTTTTCTTTTTTTTTCTTTTCTTTTTACTCAACCTTGCAAGTCTATTGCCAATAAAAATAATGTATTGTGTTCCACAGTTTAACCAAAGTGGAAACCAGCATTTGGCGGCCCTCGCAGTTCAGCAATGCTTGGTCTCAAAGATCATTCATATCCAGTTTGAACCATATCCAGCAATGCTTTTGTTATTCAGAGCCAAACGTATCCAAATGGCAGGATATGGAAATTGCCACTCTGCCACGCCCACACAGTCAAGCCATCCATCAAGGGGTATGTTTCAATATAACTTGTTTTGTGCCATCAGACAGTGAGTGTAAATCATAAACAAGTGAAAGGAAATGACTTCCAGCAGTGAAATATGAGGCTTCCTGTTCTTAGGGGGCAGGGCTGAAGTTATGTCAGCAAATAAGTATCTGTTTGAGTTAATTGCCGGTCTGATATGACACACAGCATCTGTTGTACAGTTCAGACCCTGCTAGCACCAGCAGTCAATTATTCCCGTGATAAACTAAGCAGACAGGGCTCAAAGAGTGCATTTATATCCTTTCCGTACATTTCCAGCAATTCCAGTCTGCTAGGTGTCTGAGCTACAGCTTCAAACAATGTTTCTTCAGATTTCCTGCTTTCTGTTTAAATATGGATCAAATAATTATTCATATCATGCATGACTGTACAGTAAACTGATTTTAATGCCAGTACTTTTCTGTTGAGTGGATATTGTGTTATGCTATGATAAACAACTTTTTTTTTTATCTTACTGAGGACTTCAGCTGCCTTCTGCATGCACGTTTTCTTTCAAGCTTTTAATTACGTTTTTAGTTTTTTAGAAATGGGAAGAAATAAAACTACTATGATGCATTCCTGTTTGATAGATTTAAATGTGGCTATCAGTCTAAATCTGAAAGCTGTCCTTAGAATGTATGCAACTGGAGCATTTGTTGAATCTTGTCCTCTGGCCAATAATAAAGTCTTCTATAACCTTAGGCTATTGTCTGATTATATATCAG